CCAAAGTGTTGTGCCAGGCCCCAGATCTTCACTATTGCATCATATGGTCGCTGCAAAGCCCTGACTAGGAGCATACCCCAACCTCCAAGGCAAGAGATAATCGAATGGTTTTCCTTTTTTTTTTTTTTCCTTTTCCGGATAAAGATTGGCACCATGATGGAATGGTTTTCAAGAGGCCAAGTAGGACCAGCTGTGGGTTTATCCCATTCTACCTGAGGATTTTACACAATATATTGAGTGCAGGAATTGCATGCAATTATTGCACTCAGTAATATACCAAACCACTCCTAGCTTTCTTTAGACCCTAGACTTGGGCCCTCATCCTTCTCATAGACCTCTTGCGAGGATTTTCCCCTTTTACAGATTTACACTCAGTCCGGTGCATAAACACTTGAGCACCTACAATCTCACAGCCAACTCACTGCCGACATCCAGTGACTCACAGTTAAGAGAGCTACAGCAGCAGCTCTGACCAAAGTGATGACCAACTACTTAACATGAATTAGAAACAGAGCGGAAAAAACAACACACCTTTAGCCAGCTCTGCGTTAAGAACCAAGTCTCCACCTTAAACACCAAGCCCCCGTCCCTCAGTAGTCCTGTGTACTCCCAAAGCCCCAAAGTTTACTGCAGCCTCAAGCAGCCTCGTCTAAAAAATTAAGAAAGGGCCTGTGATAAGCATTGCAGGTTAAACAGGAACAGGGACTCAAGCGCAGAGTTTGTCACTCTGTTTCTGGGAGGGGAGGGGCTGCACAGTGCGCAATGGGGCTGGTAAAGGGAGAGCCAGGTGACAGCCACACTGTCCCAAGGATGAACCTGGCCCTGCTAGCATCGTGCTGTAATCCCTATGGATTAGAACTATGGCTAATAGGCCGGGCGCGGTGGCTCATGCCTGCAATCCCAGCACTCTGGGAGGCTGGGCAGGTAGACAGCCTGAGGTCAGCAGTTCGAGACCAGTCTGGCCAAGATGGTGAAACCCGTATCTACTAAAAATAACAAAAAACTAACCAGGTGTGGTGGCGGGAGCCTGTAATCCCAGCTACACAG